CATTTAGGTCCAGGTAATAAAATGCCGCCGATTATGAACCCCCGGTATATCGCAGGCTAGCAGTAGATGGGAGCACAGAGAGTAGCTGGCGGGTGTTCATAATCAGAACGGAGTTACAAGGCGGAATGGAAGGCAAGCGTCATAGCGGTGAGGCGCAAATTAAAATACACATGAATTAAAATTACGGCAAGTGTAAAATACTGTTTAAATGTACCAGGATAACTAATTTAGGCTGTGCATTGGTTGAAACATGATGGTGACTTGCGATATTTGATCGCGGTGCGAAATGTATGAGACGCCATTTTGTAACGGTACTTTTGCCAACGCACACAGCGGCTACATACATTACTTACATGCAAATAACACTAATAACGTGGCAATTAAATAGCTAAAAGCAAACAGCCTGGCATGATCAAATTACACTACCTATAAAACACTTTCACTACTTAAAACTAGGTAACGTTTCAACACTTACCCTTACGGGGTGCAAGACGATACGGAGGTCTCGGTGACGAGAATTAACGAAAAAACTATACGGCCACAGTGCCGGAATTATTATATTATTTTAAACTTTTTCCAAAATATGATTAAAATTTGCAAGCGCGTACGAGGACACAAAGCAGAGCTTGTGAACGCGGCTGCAGTGGTAGTGTGCGCCTCCCAGGGCGCTCGGGCGGAGAATGACCGGGAGCGCGACGGCGTGGAATGATACCGGTCGGGTAAAACTCTGACGCGAGAGTTGCAAAGCGCATAGAGTAACGAAGCGTCAGAGTGTTTGTTCGAAATACAATATTTTAATATTTGATTTACTATTTAATTCGTTCTTTTAGTTTACTGATTTGTTTTATTAATAGGATACCTAAGTTAATTATAGAATTATTTTTGTTAATAACTTCTATTTTATTTTTATTTAGTTTATTAAATGTTTATTTAATTTTAATAAACCGTTTAATTATAATTATGCATACATGTACGTGCAACGTTACAACACTACTCCAGGAGGGTACTAGCACCCTCGGCAATGGAGAATGGAGAATCCCTCGCTGAGCATCCATGCCTAAACTACTCTTCCTGAGCGTGAGTGCTTTGAGACTAAACCTGCTCGGGGCAAACGGAGCAAAAAGTCAAAGGCACGCTGCCACGCTATCCATGGATTTCTGCAACACCAAGGGACTTCATTCGAACCTCAACGCCGTCCACTACCACCTGGAAACGGCGAAGCCAGCCTTGCTCTAACCCAGACACAGGTGTCCTCTCCGGCTGACACTTCATATCTCTCCTAGCCGGGGTACCGATAAGAACACTCTTTTGTGCCCCGGGCTGGAGTTTGCGGGTACGTCAGAGAGGACTTTTGTATTTGACGCCTCGGCAGTCACCATCTTACTATATACGGACCTAACCATCTTATGGATACGCGTGGACAGCGACGACCATTTCGCGTCTACGGCTGCCTATATAGGTCCCATAGCGGTAGTGCCGACACAAACCGATGGATCGAACACGTCCAGATGACTGCAGACTCCGTGATACAACAGGTTCCATCCGCAGAGATCGTGATACTTGGTGATTTTAACGCCCATCATGCTGAATGGATCATGTACCTTCCTATTGGACCTTGTGCTGACCTCTCATCCGGATGGATATCAGGTCTCCGTTGATGCCCCTCTTGGCTCCTCGGACCATTGCCTGTTCCGGAGTACGGTGCCACTCACACTCCAATCGCGGTTGCGTACTGCAGGTTGCCGCCGTGTTTGGCATTAAAGGTCAGCCGATTGGGACGAGATGCGATCTTTTTTGCATCCTTACCTTGGAGGCGAGTTTGATTCTCGCCGGATGATACCAGCATTGTTGCTGATTCTGCTTCTGCTTAGTGCTACAGGGAATGCAACTATTTTATTTTGTGGTACCATAGACATAACCCAGCCTTGGTTTGGTCGCTCCTGCAAAATTGCATGATATCATAAGCAGGAGTGTTACCTGGCCTCGCGCATCGACGTCTCGGGATGTAAATACCAGCGTTCTTAAAAAGAAGTATAAATTCTGCTTTCAGGTCCTACAAAAGTGTCATTGTCAAGGCAAAGTCAGAGCAATTCGGAAGAAACTAGTTCGTCTTCCTTCGGGAACACGTGCATTCTGGTCTCTTGCCAAAGCTGTCCAAGGGAACTTCTGCCAGCCATCTCTTCCATCTCTGCACAGGGAGGATGAATCACTGGCCCATGCCTCAAAAGACAAAGCCGATATACTGGACTCTCTTTTTGCATCCAACTCGACTCTTGATGACAAGGGGAACACACCGTCGACCACCCCGCAGTGTGAGAGCTCCATGCAGTATGTGCTCTTTACCCAACGCACGGTGCACAGAGCACTTCTCTCCCTGGATATCAACAAATCGAGCGGGCCTGATGGCGTCCCTCTTATTGTGCTGAAGACGTGTGCTTCGGAGTCTTAATGCGTCTTTTCTGTACTCCTACCCCTAGGCGTAGTCCAGAAATCATGGAAGACAGATTTCGTGCACCCGATCCTTAAAAAAGGTAACCGATCTGATCCGTCCAACTATAGGGCTATCGCCATCATCTCCTTGTTCTCTAAAATAATGGAATCTATTATTCATAGCCCGCTCATGCGGTACCTTGAGGGTAACCAGCTGATTAGTGACCGCCAGTACGGTTTCCGTCGCGGTCGCTCGGCTGGTGATCTTCTAGGTTACCTAACTCATAAATGGGCAGAGACAGTAGACTCCAAGGCGTTGGCCGTTAGTTTGGACATAGCAAAGGCCTTCGATCGGGCTTGGCATAAAGCGCTTCTTACGAAGCTTCTTTCCTATAGGCTTTCCGAGAAATTGTGCAATTGTATCACAAGTTTTCTTGCTGATCGGAGCATCAAGATCATAGTAGACGGTGCGTGCTCCAATTACAAACCTATTAACGCTGGTGTTCCACAAGGCTGCTTGCTATCACTAACGCTGTTTCTTCTGCATATCAATGACATGTTGCAAATCGGTAGCATTCATTGCTATGCAGACGACAGCACTGGTAATGTTTTATACACCGGCTGTGCCAATATTTCTCGGAAAATCGTCACCGAGTACCGGGACAAACTTGTGTCTGAAGTCGAGATTTTGATGAACAAAATCTTGGACCGACGGCGACTGAATCTAGTCCAGTTTAATCCCCAGAAGATATAAGTTTGCGCGTTTATCGCTAAATAGAACCCCTTCTTCGTATCTCCTCAGTGTCAAGGTACTTCCCTTGTCTCAGCCAGTATCGGAATCCTCAGCGTCGACATATCGAGTTTCGTGGTCACTTGGAATAGAAGGCCTAATTGGCCTCTTAAAAGTTTGGCGTGCTCAGCAGATCGGGACAGTATTCAATTCCGGCTCACCGCCTGAAACTTTACAAGGCGCAGGTTCGGCCCTTATGGAATATTGTTCCCATCTCTGGTCCGGGAATCCCCAGTGCCAACTCCTTCCATTTGATCGCATCCAGCGCAGATCACTTCGAATCGTCGGCGACCGAGCTTTTTTCGATCAGCTAGACTCACTGGCACTGCGAAGAGATGTTGCATCTCTTTGCGTATTTTATCGCATCTAATACGGGGAGTACTCTGAGGAATTGTTCGGACTAAATTCATTCGCACAGTTTCACCATCGCACATTGCAACAAAATTCGCGATACCATCCATACCATCTGATGCTGGATGGCTGGCTGAGGTCCAACCGTGCGAATTAAAAGAAGTTTTCTTACTCGCACAACTTCCTTGTGGAATCGACTACCACCAAAGATTTTTCCGGACCGATACGACTTAGGGACCTTCAAGAATAGAGCCTATTCCTTTTTAAAAGGCCGGCAACGCATCTGCATTTCCCCTGGTGTTGCACTTGCTCGTAGGTAGCGGTAATCACTTACCATCAGGTGAGCCGTATGCTTGTTTGCCCCCTCTCCTATAAAAAAACAATACAGATTTATGTGGATAACGACTTTAAAAATTATTTTTAACACTACCTCAGCTCTGTCCGTAGTTCCGTACACCATTTTATGAAACATGACAGCGATCCACCCATGAATTCTTCTTTCTGCTTCACAGGAATGATTTCTGGATCTCAACAACAGTGCCTTCCTTACTAGTTTGTGAATCTGAACCATCTACGGGCCCACTCAAATACACACAAAAATCATCGAAGCTTGTAGAGCCCGTTTCGAGCTTTAGCAAAACTAATAGACTGCATGTGATTTTTATATATTAGAGATTACTATATCAAAAAACTTTTGTCCGGTTCGACAAGCTGTCAACACCAAACAATTTTAAAAACACATAAAAAAACATAAACACTCACGCCTGTCACCCAGAGGGGTAGGCAGAGACTACAGACTTCCATTTAGCACGATCCTGACATACCTTTCTCGCCTCTTCCACATCCATATACCTACGCATACATGCTCGTCGGTTAAGGGATACTCTTAATTTGGCCCATTTTTAGTATATCGCCAATTTGGTCGACAAACTTCCGCCTAGGACGTCCCTTTTCCGACTCTTCCATTCACTTCTGCAACATATATTTGCTTTGTCAGTCTTTCCGCATTCACTCTTTGTACATGACCAAACCACCGAAGCATCCTTTCTTAATCCTGGTCACCGCATCATCTTGCAAACCACACTCTTCTTTTAACAATTTTAACTTCTTAGGATATCCAGCAAGTTTCTTATCATTTATATTATAACAATAAGTAAGATTACTCATAAACCGTTTTTGTATTAATTCTTTACGTAGTTGATGAAATTTGTACTGTGGTGACCAAATTACGCTTCCATATTTTTTATTGTGATATTTTTAATGGCTATTTGGACAAATACGAGATTCCCAAAATTTGATGATGCCCTGAGTTAAAACTGGTTGATTTCTATAATAATTATAATAAAAATTTTAAATACATGTTGTGATAGCACTATAGATCGTACCATGGTTGTTAGTGCTTAAAGTTACAGCTTAATTTTTGTTGCAGATCGCATGACAGCTTTCATACAATTTGGCTTGGAGGCGATTAAAAACAATGGCGTAACAAGTTTATGGTTGGGCTTAGATTTTTACACAGGTAAGTGCTAACAATTTAATACATACACATAACAAAGCTTACACCATGTAATGGTAATAATCAGTTTAAAAACAACGCCGCAACGTGCACATAAATATTTTTGGAAATGAATTTAAATTTTTAGAGCACAATTTAGAAACAAAAACACAATGTTGTTTAATCTACTTGCTATAAACAATTATCAGATGTAGCTAGCACATAGGACATATCAATATTGGCACCAGATTAACGTGAAAAGTTATGAAATTGTGACTGAATCTTGATTCTAGCGAAAAATGTCTTAAATTTGTCCTATACTCAGACCAAAAAAGTTACATGTAATCACGCAGTGCTCCGTCTTTCGTTCTTAGTTGGTCGGAGATCATAAAAACATTTCTTTTTATTAGCAAATACATGAACAGCTGATTTAGTTTGTGGGGATCTTTGTAGTTTATTTTGAAATAGAATGAATTATTTAACATTTTATTGGGATTTTCCCGAATAGTAAATAAAAAGTACTTACGTTTGGTAAGTTGTTAGTTAAAAACCATATTACCTATGTATTTTGATATGACAGGTGCCAAAGAAACTTCTTACGAATGAATCCCAAATGAAGCTTGTGTACGTCGTAAAAATGAGTCCAAACGATTTGCCGTCTCCTAAACCTGACGTAATGAAATTGAAGCAGCTATTCAATTAGTAACATGTCTGAAGTTCCGACAACTAAGTAGTATAAAACTCAATAGCATAAAACTTTTTGAAACCTTTATCTACGCATAAATGAAAACAAAGGTAACCAAAAATAATTACCAATGTAGACGTCGAGGTTCTGAATTAGTTCCACCTATTTATCATGTGTTTGTTAAAAATTTCAATTTAAATTTTAACAAAAGAATACTATAAAATTATTTTTTTATTTGGTTATTGAATATACCATACAGTAACTCATACGAGTGTTTTACCCAATTACAACATATTTAAGAGGATTTACTAAGTTTAAATCGATTGATATACATCATGATCATTTATAAATCCACTGCTAAATATAGGCCTACATCAAGAAATGCCACAAAGCACGGTCCTGAGTCTGCATGCGTGATAATTCGAAATCAGTCTGCTATTCTCCAAGAGAGCATTGTCGCCTTTCTTGAAGAACAATACCACTGCACTTCTGCCACACGCCTCCAAAGTAGTGTCACAATGGAGGACGGAATTAAAGACCATCTGAAGGAATTCAAGTACTGATTTTCCACCCGCTTTCAAAAGCTCCGAGTTTGATTCCCGCTCGTGCTGCCGAAATTTTTAAATTTAATTTTAATGAATGATAAACCACGTGCATATCCTGAATTTCTTAACAACTAGAATCTTATAACTAGTTTAGATGTGTCATAAATTATTAAATAAATGTGAAGACTCTTCCTTACACCAAAACTGTTTTAGGAATAAGAGAAAATAGTATGTGTGGAATAACATTTTATAAAATGTTACATTATTTAATCAATGAAAAGATATACTGATTGTATTTTGATGATAATGACATAGTGATAAATAGGGTCAAAGCCACACGTACAAATCCAATAAAACACAAAAAATTTGATTTCGCAGTTATTGCCGATGCAGTTATAGCAGATAAAGTAATGAAATCTTGTCTAGAAAAAAGTAACTTATCGGACGTTATTCGTCATCTCCTTGGAAATGGAAGCATATTTGCCCCTGGTAAGTATCATCATCATATCTATATTAGTCAATTCATTAGTCTTCAAAACACTTTGAAAAATTACTTTATTATGAATTTTGCAGTTTTAGAGCATACTAGCTTATTTTTAAACATGATGGGAAACATTCATTGCTGTTATGTTTAAATTTCAGTTAAAGTTTGGCGACCTCGTCGAAAAGTTGTTGCACCAACTTTCTCGCAGAAAAATCTTCAGACTTTCGTAGAAATTTTCTCAAAGCAAAGCTGCATTTTGGCAGAACGGTTAAGCTTGGTTGCTGACAAGGAAGCATTTTCCGTTTGGAAATACTTTACGACATTTACCATGGACTCTGTTTGTGGTTTGTAGGCAAAATATTATTACTAAATGTTCGGTTTAGAATATAATTGATAGTTGGGGATGAAAGGTGGTAAAGTGGCAGCCTCGTACTGGCGAGCGCAGGGTTAGGTGTTAGTTAGACCCCACTAGATGGAGTGACCACCTTATGAAATCCATCCACCCCTACAAACTCGTTGGATGCGAATGACTCAGGACCGTATTTCAGGGCTATCTATGGGGAATACCTATGTTAAGCAATGGTCTTTTGATGAGTTTTAATAGTAATAGTAGCAGTTCTGTTTGGTTTGATTATGGAAATCTCAGCATATGCGAGCGAATACTTACAGCCATTTAATATTGCCGTGAAAAATAGTTTAAGGATAAATATGACATGGAGTTAGTAAGGTGGAAAAGAATGAACGTTGGCAAAGTGTTACCAAATAAAGATTTTTCAAGAATTATAAGACAAGTGTGGACTCAGATTAATCTGTTTCTGTGTACGGAATGTTTTTTTCTACAGGATAAGGGTGACAAATGAGCACACAATCTACCTGATGGTGTAGTTGCTGTGACCAATAGACATCTACATATTTCCTCAATTATAAATCAAAATACAGATGCATTTTCATCCATGAGGACTAAGATGGAATAACTCGTATCCAGTTAAAATGGGTATCTAGTTCTCTACAGCTATCCTACGAAACACAGCAAGGTAAAGCTATTATTTTAAAAACTGAAAATTCTAAATTCTAGTAAACACAATAGAAAGAGCGTGCGAATATAGATAATATTGTTCATACTTTATGCGATGAATGTAAAAGAAAAGTAAAAAGGTGCAGTTTTAAATTAAACGATCTCTTCTATGCCCTTGTAATATTGATTTCATCGTTTGTCCATTTTTCCTTAGGTCGGAGGAACCTCATTTCAAAAAGTTGGTAGATTTAAAAAAAATTACATTTGGTCAACGAAATTTTATTTTCTTGCTATGAAAAAAAAAATTTTTTTATTTCAATAAGGAAGTTGTCAGGAAGATGCTGCTACCATTTCTTTTCTTCATTACCCTCTTTCAACTCCTGTGATACCCACAAAAATATATGGAGTAGTAAATTCTCTTATATTCCCAGTTTTCAGCGTTGGCGAAGGCATTTTATATTCATTAATTTGTATGTCGTCTAAATAGTTAATACTAATCGCTTCGTTAAGGTTTTCTCCCTTTTTAGAATTTATAGCTGACATTTTATTATTTTTGTTTATTGTCATTTCAATTTTTTCTTTGTTTTTTTTCTTTTATCCAAAGCATCATTAATTGAAATTAGACAGATGTTTTCTAAAGATATATGGATTGAAATATATTCAACAGCTACTTGTGCCTCAAATACTATTTTGTTCACAGTAGCTAGTGGTATTTTTCTCAGTTTTTGGGTTCTTTCAGAGGTTTCGTCTTCTTCGTCAGTTTCGCACATATTTTCCATTCAGCTAATATTACTGGATTAAATTTATTTTCGGGGATGAAATTTTTATTTAACGGATATATTTCAGTTATATAGAAACCTGCTGTACATATAAGGGGATTAATGTGAGTCTACACTTGCTCCATAATTCTTGAAAAATCTTTTTGACAACACTTTGCCAACGTTCAATTTTGTCACTTTACTAATTAAACTACCCAAGTGGGTAGTTTAATTAGTAAAGTGATAAGTATCTATAAACGATTTTTTCCTGGCAATATCCAATGGCTGTAAATTGTCGCCCGCATGAAGTGTGATTTTAATAATCGTTATGTCTTCGTCTCGTGCTTTTTGGATAATGTTAATACCCCGTTGTGTAGAGTGACCGTTATAACGAAAGGGAAAAGGGCATTACTCTCCAACAGTTGGCAAAATAATCTTTTGAATTATTTTTTTAAACACTGACGCCTTTAAGAAGGGTTAGATTTTTTAAGAAAGCGCGAAACCAATGCTCTAGTCGAATCTCGTTCTGGAAAGGGATTCTAATATTGATTTCAACCACATATTAGCTAACAACTTTAAGCACTTCCTTGCGGGTCAAACCAAAACCGTACATCTCCTTTATATGGAGATTTTTCGCAAGTGTTTGTCTACAAGAAAGAAGTATTTGATTTTTAGACTTTTTCGATTATAGACGTGGTTCACAATTGTTGCCCTCGATATGTCGCAGAATTTTGTAACGACATACGCAGAAATGTGCCATGTTTTACTGCCTAAACAGCATCCTTTAATTATTCTTGAGTATAGACACCACCTTTAAAAAAGAACTAAAAATAAGTACTACATAAAATATATGTGTCGACTCAAATCAGTGCCATTTTGCTCATTTAAGAAGTAATGGTACCTACTAAAATGTGCGCTATTAGTAACTATGCGTTAATTTAAGATTTCATCGAACCAACTCAAAAAATCTATTAACAATAGGGCGTAATTTTGTCTTTATGTTATTTAAAACTATTAAGAAATCATAATGTTCTTCACTCCTGATATCAGCAAAGAGGGACACAGTTTTTCTCTTACCCTGTAAGTACAGTTTCTCTTACGCTAGCAATGTTGTTGGAGGTTAAGATTTTGAATTCGATGAAACTTATATTACTTGTAGGTTTTGATATAAAATAACAAAAATAAGTAAAGACTACCCTTTTTCTTAGAATTTTTTTTTCATAAAATAATCTACTAACACTAACATTTTCACAATTTTACTGAGAATAAATGTTATGAAGTCAACTCGCGTTCTTAGACTTTACAACTGTCCACTGTTCCTTTTTTTCCGGCTGTGGAATATCGTAGCGACATCTGTTAGCAAGCGTTTTTTTACTTCGCTGTTCTCAACTTTTATGAAGATGATTGAATGAAGCACTTATAAAAAGAATCTTAAAATTTTTGAGCCGATCACAGGATAATTTCAGATAGATACAGAAATAGCTAGAAAGCTAATTCTTAGCTGTAAAATTCAGCTACAAATAGAATAAATGCGTTTGATATTTTCAATTTAAAGGCAAGGTGTACATTTTAAAAATTATAATTAAAACCTTTAATAGACTTAAAATTACGTAAGTGTGGCTAATAGAATTTGCTAGCAGCGGTTTGCGGTGTTTGGGAAATAAAATAATATTCCCAGACGCACGCCTGAGTTTAAAATAATTTATCAATTAAGTAATAAGTTTACGACTGTGAATAACATTAAACAGAAGTGAAATATAATGCATGAAACGTCGACTGTTTATTTTAAGAAGCTTAGGAGATTTCTCTTTGCTGTGGACTAGATTGTGCAACCACACTAATGAACCTTCGTCGAACCCTTTGTTATTAATTTTGCGGTCATACCGGGTTTTCATCTTTTCAGGCATTTGCTGGCCCAAATGTCTGACGTGCTCAAAAATGTCGTTAATTTTGTTCCGCAAGTCATTTGCATAATCGGTTATGCTGCGTGGGGTATCACGTGGTGTTCCAGTGATCAGGTCAGCAGGCAGCCGTAATTCTCTTCCAAAGTTTACGAAAGCTGATGTCACTGATGTACTTTCGTCAACAGCGCTTCGATATGACAACAAAAACGTATGTGCTTTTCCCAATCTCGTTGCCGATTTTACACATTTTGTGCTAGGTACTTCTCCAATGTCTGATTAAATCTTTCCAAAATTCCATCAAATTGCGAGTGCTAAGAAGTTGTTCTTGATTTACGAGTACCCATAACTCGGCAAATTTCCTAGAATATTTGAGACTCAAAATTCCTTCTTTCATCGCTGCAAATCTCCAAAGGTACTCAATGACAAAAGACTTCATAAACTAGTTTATCTGCAACTATTGAAGCTTCTTGATTTGGATTGGTGAAGACTTCTAGCCACTTAGTGAAGTAATCCGTCACAATCATGAAATACTTGTTATCATTTTACTTTCCGGAAACGACCCCGCCATGTCAATGGCTATTCTCTCCCATGGTACACCAACATTGTACAACTTCAATGCACCTCTACTACGAGTCTGAGGTCTTTTCACAGCCGCACAACTTGTACATTTTTCTATTTACTGCACAGGACTCCATCCTGAATCAGCAAGCTTTCCCATTCGGCCAAATAGCTTTTCGTGGTCAAACTCATCGCTGAGACGTCACTCCTTTTGGGCTTGGGAGCACTGGCCTTTATCCATTTCAGAATCGGCTTGATGTCCGAATCTTCCTGCTGTGCATGTTGTAGGCTGTCCTTCCACTCGTTGCAGAGGTGGTCTGTTCTGAGCATCCTCACAGATACCACTTTGTTACTCTCTTGCCTAGTACAATGCTTGCAATCTTCAGGACAAGGTCTTATCGACAATGCATCTGCGTTGCCATGAGATTTCCCGCTGCGATGTTCGATTACAAAGTTGTATTCCTGCAGTAGTTCAATCCATCTCGTAACTTGTCCTTCAGGATTTTTGAACTGCAAAAGCAATTTCAGTGCAGCATGGTCAGTTCGTAAGTGGAATTTCCGGCCCAGAAGATATCAACTAAAATGTTGCAGTAACTTTACCAGCAAGCAAATCCGGTATTATCAAGAAATAGTTCTTAGACTTGCTGAAGTACGCTATCACAACCTCTTGATCACCATTCCGTTGAGACAACACACCGCCAAGTCCTATATTACTTGGGTATGTGCAACTGTAAATTCCTCACCCGTATCAGGTTATCTCAAAATTAGTGTTTTGCGCAGATGGTCCTTGAGCTCCTGGAATACGATATCGCAACTTTCATCCCAGCAGAAATGTCACTTCTTCTTGGTTAACTTATGCAGGTTTGGCTATATCTGCAAAATTCTTCACAAATGGCCGGTAATAGGAGCACAAACCCAAAAATGATTTAACCTGCGTCTTGATTTTGAAACCGGCCAATACTTAACAGCGTTGATTTTCTCTGGAACCGAGAGCATACCTTCTTCAGATACTGCATACCCTAAAAATCTAACTTGCCTATGAATAATAATCATTTCTTCGAGCTCAACTTGAGGTTGGCACTCTGGATATTCAGGAGCTCGCGTACCAGGTTTTGAAGATGTTCCTCAAACTTACAGCTTACGATGATGATGTTATCCAAGTAGACAAGACAGGCATCGCCGATTAGCCCAGTAAGTACAAGTTCCATCAACCTTTTAAACGTTGCCAGAGCATTGCACAATCCAAACGGCGTAACTTTTTATTGCCATAGACCCTTTCCCGTCGAGAACGCGATTTTTTCCTTGTCCTTAGGGTCAATTTTTATTTGCCAGTAGCCACTTTTCAGATTCAGCTTGCTAAACCACTTTACTCCTGTATGTATGTCCACCATGTTCTCAATTCTTGGCAAGGGATAGCTGGCCTGCTGTGACGTCGTTCAGACGGCGGTAGTTAACACAAAACTGCATTCTACCGTCCTTCTTCTTTGTTAATACCATCAGTGTACACCATCTACAAGATGAAGGTTCAGTAACACGATCTTTCAGCAGTCCCTCAATCATGGTATCCACTTCCTTTTCACGTCTTACCGGCAATCTTCTTGGCCACTGACGGTTAAGCAATTCTTCTAATGTGTTTATTTTGTGTTGAACTAAACCAGTCTTTCCTATCTCAGTATTGTTTGACGAGAAAACGCCGACGAGACGATTGTCAAGGCAAAGAAGTTGTTACTCAAGTAGTAACAACTTCTTCGCCTTGACCATTTCATTCGCGGAGAGAACGCTGCGACATTCTTCTAAAAGTGTAGTCACTCTCGTTTGTATATCCTTGCTTAGGACGCCAGTCGATAGATATTGGCACCACCACAACCAATCCACTTCCTCACAAGTACCAACCTGTATTCCTTCTTCTATAAACTGTTCCTGGACACAAAGTTTCAGCACACGTACTCCTGGGATGTCATTGGTTTCTACCCAGGTTCGAGCCACTTTCCACGGAAGGTTATTGTCTACCATTTACACGAGCACACATCGATGAGCTTGCCTAGGATTCCGAGGAAGACTAAACGGCACAATCGTTTCCGATCTCGGCGGACGAACAATCTTCGTAAGGCTGTACACGTTTCGTGGTAATGCCTCTTCCACGAAAAGTTCCGCTTGTCCACATTTCAAGATACCTTGCTTAACGTCGATCTCACAACAATTCTTCCTCATAAAGTCTAGGCCATCCATTATATCAGCCACGATTAAATTATGCATGTAGGTAGGTTGCCTAGCTTCAACAACATCTGCTTCTCACCATGGACAGGTATGAGCTGACCGCTGGCTGTCACTAAATTAATGCGTTCTCGGTTGTATGCGGAGCCTCCAAGGAACTGACTTATAAGTTGGGTACTGACAATCGTACGAGAGGCTCCAGTGTCTATGGTAAGTTTACACGGCATTCCGTTGACCTCGCCCTTTATGATTAGGCTGTTTCCATCACGGATTTGTGAGATCGAGATCCTTGGGGCTCTTTTAACACCAGTCAGCACCAGCCCAGCAGTTCTGGCTTTTACTAGTTTCCCTGCTGCTGGTGGGTGGTGCTGTTAGCCGCACTTATTCTCTCGAGATCGATCACCTTCCCTATCTACAGTTCGCTTAGGGCAGCTGGATCAAAGATACAGATCGAAGAGACAGCCATAGCACTTAGGGATGTATCGTTTATTGCGGTCACAAAATGTAGCTGCTGCAACCTCCCTGACGCGATGGGAACGATGATCCTGCCACACGGCTTCCACCTCCAGTGCATTGGCTAAGGCGTCCTTAAGAGTCTTGTGGTGCCCGAGCCTCACAGCAGCTCTGACTTCAAGGTCGCGGATGCCGTCAATGAATGTCTGCACCAGGTTCCCTGCAATGAGTGCAGGTACAGACTGATATGTTTTTTGAACCAGCTTCTTCACCTCAAAGGTTCACTGCTGCGGGTTTTAATTGCTGCATTGCACGCCATCTTAAAGCTGTTCCAGGTAAGCGTCGTCATATCTCACTTTCAATGCTTCAAGGAGCTGCTCGTAAATGTCTTTCTTGCCGAGAGCTTCTAGAACAGTTAAGGCCTGGTCTCGCAGGCCTAGTGTGAGAGCAGTCATGGCCTGATTTTTATTCCAGCCGTTCGCCTTCATGACAGCCTCGAACTAGATTTTGTAGGCGGACCAGGAAGGAGTCCCATCGAACGGCGCCACTTTGAATCCACGTAGCGAAGGTGTTGTAGCTACTACGGGAGCTGTAATTTCATCCCAAAAATTAAGGCTATCCAGCATTTTCTTTACTTCAGCCAATCTCTCCTAATTCTGCTACTCGATACTAAATGGCGCTAGTAGCATTGATTATGGCGCGTAACAGTACTTTATACGATTCAGTATAATCAGAAGAAAATTCTAATAGAGGGAAAAGTTTTTTTATAGGATAAACGAGCACACAGTCCACCTGATGGTAAGTGGTTGCTATGGACTAAAGACATTTACATCTATCCTCGATTACGAATCAAAATTCAGACACGTTGTCACCCGTGAAGTTTCCAGTTCTTTACTTTTACCGTACGAAACATAGCTGCGATAAGCTGTTATTCTGTGAGAGCGTTGTTCTTCCCAGGTCGAGCCGACCCATTCGAGCTGCAGCTATACCAGTAAAAGAATATCGCGGTGTTATGAAAGCGAAAGAAAATGTGATTAATATTTACATTACAGATAAAGGAGAAATATTTAACTTAATTTTTGTTAAGCTACTATAAATTTGAAACATAATTGATATTTTCTTGGATTATTCAAATTTTAAATACAGGCAATAATACGAGTAATACCTAATGTTAACGTGTAGCTGATAGCGTGGTAATCTTTGGGGAGGTGTGTTTTCACCTGTGGACTTTGATAGGCTGTAGTTAATGAACAAATACAAAATATAAATTATAGAACAGCTTTAGTGACTTATTTTTTATCATACAGAAACGGCTCTTGGTATTAAGGTGAATGCACAAACTCAACCTGATCAGCCTTTCTTGGCTGCGTTTGACGAGTATTGCGAGCTGATCGCCGCCCGTATGTGCCAACCCTGGTTGCGTATCAACGCTCTCTACAAACTTTTCCCAGACTCAAAAAAGTTAGATAAGTACAAGAAATTGATTTGGGATTATGTTGACAAGGTATAAATTAAATTTAATATTTACTAGAAGTAAGTTAAACGCGTAGTGTCGGTGTTAGTAAATTCACTACATTATATCGTTCGATAGGCGTCATAATAGTTGATAGAGGGAAACAAAGCAGGATATGTGCAGCAGTATCTTCCTGATAACAAATTATAGAAAAACGGCGGTTGTCTGCCAACCTTTCAAGCGTGGCAGCTATTTTTAAATTTCACTTTATTTTATTAAGGGAAACCAACAAGACATACATTATTTCTTGTTTTACAATACTTTTATTCTAGGATTGAGAATATAATTGTAGGTTACCACGGCTTGCATCAAGGGCTAGCTAATTTTACCTGTTTATAAATAATTTATATTCAAAAGTAATGATGAAATAATATGATTATAATAAAATTACATAATTACGGTATTTAATACGGTTACACAAAAACAAATTGTAAAATTTTAACGTTTTAGATGAAAAGAGTTGATTATTGACGTATGAACTATGGCAAATTTGGGGGATATTGAGGCAGTTTATGGGGGATCGATGTTTAGTAGCAAAATTTTAATAGGCAGTAAAAGTAACAATAACTTATTTGGACAAGGCTAACTACTGTTTGCTAGTGTGAGAGTTGCGGTTCTGCAGTCACCAAGATCTGTTGATGACAGCGCTTCCCACGTTACCACCTCATTAATTTCCACAGGCATAAGATTTTTGCCGAATTTACATAATTGCACTGCAGGATGATATCATTACTATAATCATTCTTACATTTTTAATCCAGGCCGTAAATTTCAGAAAGGAAGGAGAAATCAAAATTAATATTTTCACGTATTTTCAGGTTGTAAAATCAAAACTAGCAAACAAGAAACATCTACCACCCGATGAAAGTAAGTGAATTAAGAACAAAAGTAACTGATAGAAAAGATGGCAATGTGCAGCCATATAGCTCGAAGAATCGACAACCAATGAGGAAGAAAGGTTTTTGGATGAATGCTGTTACGAGCTTGTGGTTCGTGATAATAAAAACTGCCGATTGAATTACCAAAATTAACACTTTAATTACTGAACACCAAAAGACTACAAAATTCTGTACTATAAACATCTTGACTCTCCTAGTTCTGCTACTCGACACTAGATGGCGCTAGTGGTAACTCGCCATGTACCCGGCATTAATTATGGCGTGCAACAATACCTTGCACTAGCTCGTGTAGTTTTGGTTGACCTGCCACCCCTATATGAAGTAACAACCTGATAATGATAAATACAGGAAGTCAGTGAATGCAGGTGGAGGAGAACCATGTTTAGCAGTGGACTTGTGATGGGCCCATGATGATGTCAAATAATACAACAATTAATTTAAAAGTTTTATAAAAACATTTCTTTGTTGGCTTTATTGCACGAATGAAAAAGTTCCCGTTCCCGAATGGAACAACTTTTTTTATATATAAAACTGGAGTGACAAACAAACTTACGATCCACCTAAAAAACAGGTTACAGAAGCGATGTCACCTCTGCGATCTAAATTTCGAATGCTTCGCAGCCTGTGAATATACTGCCTCTCTATACCCTTCCAACCGGAACACAGCAGTGCACGCTCTGCTACTTTATGAGAGTAAAAGCTATGTGGGTGGTACATTCTCAGACTGACTCCTAGTCAAAAAGAAGTCCTACTAACTACCTACCTTGTGTAGCTTATAAATTCTTGTTCATACTCTGAATGTTTTATCTGTACACATTTCCTTCGTCTTCTTAATTTTATAAACCTAAGGGCCAAAGAACGTACGGGAATTGTTTTACGTAGCAGAATTGCGTTTTTGATAATAAATCTTGATGCTGATATCTATGGGCCATAGTATCCACTAACCATCAGGTGAACTGTGTGTTCGTTTATCTCCTTTTATCTCTAAAAAATCTTTTAAATATTATACATTAAAATTTTTGCATAACACATTATGTTTACAAAGCTCTATATTAAGAACTATTCGCTCAGTGTAGCCATATTATTAGTGTTCTGCTGTTAGATATTAAGGCCACTGCTCACTAATATTATTTTTTAGTACTAGATTCTGGTAACTAGAAGAATTATCACAAGCGACAGAACGACGACACCGATTGGCTCATAGAACGACCGCAAAACACTATTATCATAGGGAACTTTATAATGCTAGAGAGAGTAGTAGATTAGAATTTTACCCACACTTATTAATATTTTATTTTGTTTCTAATTACTACTCTTATAAATATTTCTTATAATTCCATGACAATCTTCTTTTTATATTCATGCAAAAAATCTGGCCGCTTTGTTTGTTGAAAATATATTAACACAGACATCTAACGAAGTTTATTTGCAACTTGTATATATACTATGAATGAACCCAAATATGTGTTTTACTTTCAAGGTTGTAAGGCAAGCATAGAGTTTACGGGTTGGTTTTCAGAGATGGAGTTAAAATAAAAAAATTATATAAATTTATATATATTTTATTTTACTAAACTAAAATAAGTTAGTTTACTTTAATAGTAACTTAGTTTTACTAAAATATTTAGATATTATAAAAAGATGCTGTTGGTTTACACTTTTCATCTATTTTCACATGCATTCTCAGTTCACTGATAATAATTACCTAATTAAGTTTTGAGTTAAACGCGTTAATCCTCTAGTCAAATGATCTAAATGTTTTATAGTTACCTACTAGTGTATAAACGTTGTCAATCGTAGTGTGTTTTTTTTTAAGAATTTGTGTTATAATTCTTTTTATAAATGAATTTCTCGAATATAAGAATGCTTCCAAATGAGAAAAATCATAAAAATGAGTTTTCAACTGTCTAGGTAGCTACTATGACAAATCAGAAAGGACTCGCCTGGCTGAGCGAGAGTCAAGGGCCTAATTGTGAAATATTCGCAAGCGAATGCGTATATAAATGTCATTTTGTTTTGATAGATTATATAACAGAGTGAAACTTTTTTGGCAGACGCAAAAGCTTACAAGACCTTCCTCGAATTGATAATAGAATCATCAGGCAGTCGTTGTTTCACCAACGTTGAACTTCGAGAAGAAACTCTCGTGATCGTCTTAGCCGGGACAGATACATCTGCCGTCGGTGCGTCATTTACTTCGGCAATGCTCTCTAGATACATGGAAGTGCAAAATAAAGTTTATGATGAGTAAGTTTCAAACTATTTGCCCCGTCGGACATGAGAGCGACTTTTACCCTATCTTGTCCCATTTGTTTCGTGGAAATTGACAGAAATCTTAAAAGATCTCGTAGCGATATAATTAACCCAAAAGAAGGTAATGTAATTTTATCTATTTATATATTAATACGTGAAGGAAAAACCTTGAACCCTTTTAAACATATTGCGTGCACAAATGAGTGTAAGATTTTTTATATTTCAAGTTTATACAGAAAGGAAATGCGGAAAGCTAAATTAATTTATAATAACTGCTACAAATACATTAAATTAAATTAAATATGACATTCCTTCTTTATGTTTATAATTCCTATTAGAGAATATACAATTCCACATTAATAAGAGCCAATATACTTGTCTCGCTTTTTCTAATTTAATTTTTATAAGGCAAAAAGGTACAAGTACTTTGAAAGATGTTGCGTTTAATTCATGCGTAGAAATAAAAATGTCAAGTGGTTATCTTTGGTTTTTTATACTATGCTAAATATGAGATTTAGTACAAATGTATATTCTGATTTACCGGAAAAATTACATGCCTATTATGCTAGTATTATGTGTGACGTTACTTTCGTTCATCTTTAATCTATAGCGATTTCGTTCGCAAGTCAGCAATAATCGACATCAACAACATGCTCGTTTTTGTTTAGTTATTTATTTTGATTATTTTATTATATGCCTTAAAATATAATAAAGAAAACAGTACTAGTCTTATAACTATCGAACGATCAAGTGAATTGTTTTCAAAATAAAGTAATGGTTTTTTTATAGGAGAGGGGGCAAACGAGCACATGACTCACCTGGTGGTAAGATTACCGCCGCCCATGAACACCAGACGCGTTGCCGGCTTTTTAAAAAGGAATAGGCTTTTTTCTTGAAGTTCCCTAAGTCTTATCGGTCCAGACAAATCTCTGGTGGTAGTTGATTCCACAAGGAAATTGTGCGAGGAAGAAAATTTCTTTTAAATCGCACAGTGGTGGACCGCCAGTCATCCAGATGGTATGGATGGTATTACAAGTTTTGTCGCGATATGCGATGATCGCGATGGTGAAATTGTGCGGCTGGAATTAGTCCAAACAATTCCTCAGAGCAGTGGAACCGTGGCAGATGCGATATAATACGCAAAACGATGCAACATATCTTCCCAGTGTTCCATGAACAACAGTACTTCAGTACACCAGAACAGTATTCCATGTGTGGCCGAACCTGCGCCTTGTTAAGTTGCAGGTGGTAAGTCATGAAATACTGTCCCACTCTGCTGAGCACGCCAAGCTTTTCAGAGGTCAGTTTGGCCTTCTCTTCCTAGTGAACACAAAACTGCACGTCGCTATACATGTCGACGCCGAGGATTCCGATACTGCCTGATGTAACAAGGGGAGTGCCTTGAAACTGAGGACATACGACAAAGGGGTTCCTTTGAGTTGTAAATGCACAAACTTGTGGCATCTGGGGATTAAACTGGACTAGATCTAGTCGCACCCAGTCCAAGATTTTGTTCAACAAATTCTCGATTTCAGACACAAGTTTGTCCCGGTACTCGCCGACTTTTCCCGAGAAATATTGGCACGGCTGGTGTATAAAGAATCACCAGTGTTTCATCTGCATAGCATTGAATGATACCAATTTGCAACGTGTTATTTTTATACAGAAAAAAACAGCGTTGGTGGCTTGTAACGGAGATGCATCGTCTATTATGACCTTGATGTTCCAATCAGCAAGAAAACTGGTAATCCGATTGCATGATTTCTCGGAAAGCCCATGGGATGGAAGGTTCGTAAGGCTTTGAGCCAAACCCGATCGAAGGTCTTCGGTATGTCCAAACTAACGGCCAACGCCTCCCCCTGGGACTCTACTGCCTCCGCCCATTTATAAGTTAGGTAACCCAGAAGATCACCAGCCGATTTAGCCGATGGAAACCGTACTGACGGTCACTAAACAGCTGGTGATCCTCAAGGTACCGCAGGAGCTGGTTGTTAATAATGTATTCGACGGATCAGAGCGGTTACCTTTTTTAGGTATCGGGTGCACGAAAGCTGTCTTCCATGATTTCGGGACTACGCCTAGGGAGTAAAAGCACCAGATAAGACGCGGTAAAACCGGTGCCAACTCTGGAGCACACGTCTTCAGTACAATAGGAGGGACGCCAACAGCTCCACTCGACTTGTCCAGTACAGTGAGAGGATTGCTTTGAGCACCAAGCGTTGGGTAAACAGCACATCCTGCATGGAGCATACAAGGTGGTTGTCGGTGTGATTCGCGGTGCGAGAGTCGAGTTGGACGCAAAGAGCGAGCCTAGTAGATCGGTTTCGTCCTTTGCGGTATGGGCCAGTAAGTCGTTCTCCCTGTGCAGAGATGGGGAGATTGCTGGCAGAAGTTCCCTTGGACGTCTTGGCGAGAGAGCAGAATGCACGTGCTCCCGAAGGAAGACGAACTGGTTTCTCGCCAATTCTTCCGATGTGCTCTGACTTTGCCTTGACAATGACACTTTTGAAGGATCTGGAAGCAGAATTATATTTATTTTTAAGAGCGCTGGTATTTATATCCCGAGACGTCGATGCGCGAGCCCAGGCCTAGGAGCACTCTTTCTTATGACGTAATGCGATTTTGCAGGAGCAATCACACCAAGACTAAGTTCTGCCTCCGACAGGTATCACAGATGATGGAATATAAAGTTCTATTCCCTGTATCACCACATCAATGACAGAATCAGCAACAACGCTGGGATCATCCGGCGAGAAGCAAACCCGCCTCCAAGGGTAGGATGCATAAAAAGATCGCATCCCGTCCCAATCGGCTGACCTATAATGCCAAACACGGCAGGATTCTCCGTCACCGGGGTTGCTGGTACCCTCCTGGGGTAGTGTTATATTTAAATCCGCTGACATTTTAAGGAGGGGGGGCCTCCGGCCACCTGCACTCACCAGACGAAATGCAGAAGCAAAGATTCTACTTAACGCCAGCCTTCTCGTGGTACCACCCTGGTTTAAGCCGGCCCAAACGTGCTGCGTGGCTCATATAACTTAAAAAAAAGCAAAACTAATTTTAAAAATAATTATATTAAAATTGTTTTGCTTGCTTTTGAGTTTGTGAAACGAAAATTGTGTAAAAACAAATAATCTAAAACAAATTTTCTCGGATTGATGTACACGTCGTTCTCAAAAATCGGCATATATATTGTATAAAAGAAGTTCCTGGAGTAAAGTTATTTGCCAGGCTAGATAGAATGAACTGTTTCGCTATTGGCCACCATTAGAGGTGTCTTGGCAATGTAAAAACGGCAACATGCTTGTAAAAGAAAGAAGATGAGAATTAATCTTATTTTACCACGTTTAACGTCGTATATATAAAGAGTTCATATATAAAAGTTTTGTTTTTATTTCAGGATGCTAGTAATTAATGTGCGGTTAAACACATAATAGTCTGTGCTGTAACATATTGTAGCTGCAGCGTGGCTCTACTACGTAAAAAATCTTTAATTCTATTCACTTAATGCTTTTAAATTACACATACACTCGTACACATAGACTTAGAATATACTCCAGTATATTCTAATGCTTTTAAATTACACATACACTCGTACACATAGACAGAATATACTCCAGTATATTCTAATGCTTTTAAATTACACATACACTCGTACACATAGACAGAATATACTCCAGTATATTCTAATGCTTTTAAATTACACATACACTCGTACACATAGACAGAATATACTCCAGTATATTCTAATGCTTTTAAATTACACATACACTCGTACACATAGACAGAATATACTCCAGTATATTCTAATGCTTTTAAATTACACATACACTCGTACACATAGACAGAATATACTCCAGTATATTCTAATGCTTTTAAATTACACATACACTCGTACACATAGACAGAATATACTCCAGTATATTCTAATGCTTTTAAATTACACATACACTCGTACACATAGACAGAATATACTCCAGTATATTCTAATGCTTTTAAATTACACATACACTCGTACACATAGACAGAATATACTCCAGTATATTCTAATGCTTTTAAATTACACATACACTCGTACACATAGACAGAATATACTCCAGTATATTCTAATGCTTTTAAATTACACATACACTCGTACACATAGACAGAATATACTCCAGTATATTCTAATGCTTTTAAATTACACATACACTCGTACACATAGACTTAGAATATACTCCAGTATATTCTAAGTCTGTGCTCGTACATAGGTTTAACCAACGTCTATAGAAAGCCGTAACAGTTTTCTGTCATTTCCTGTAGTTTCTTACCACACTCACAGGAGGAACTAGGTGATCTCATATTCTCTTAAACTGCCACCCACATGACATAAAAGTATTATGTGACTCTATACTTTTACCTTTGTTTACACGCTTTTATAAGCTTCGCGTGTATTTATCTATCTATATAATTAAATCTTTCATGTAATATAAGTAATTTTCAACTACTTGTAGATGACCGATTGACTTGAACATTTGCATATCAAGGACCAATCACAATACAATAATTTAATAACTTTATACCTAATAAGTTAATGTTTTATCCTGATAAGTATCACTTATAGATAAATAAAATAATTATCAGGATCATTACTCATGATCAACGCGTGTTGTTTAAGATTTTTTTATACTTTATCTTTACGTGTTAGAAGCATCAGAATACGAGTGAGTAAACTGCTGACTAATCTGTAAAATAATTTTATTAAAAAGGAAAATTATGGGGTGACATTGTTTTATTATATTTATTACCTTAAAAACAGTTCATTTTTAAGCTTTTATTGTGCCTTAGGTTTGTAATCATTTAGCCTGACAAATAACTTGACTATTCCAGGAACTTCTTTTATACACTGTAGTTGCCGATTTCTGAGAACGACGTGTACAATCAATCCGAGACAATTTATTAAGATTATTTGTTTTTACACAATTTCTCGAAGATATCCTCTTGATATTGGTTGGTGAAACTTTATTTAACTTGGCGTTGAATTCTCTAATGCTATCATCATGTTGCACGGAAAAAATAAACAAACGTAAATTATCTTCTTCAATTTTAATGTATCATATCTGTAACAGGTTGTGCGAAGTTTTCGGAGACTCGAGAAGGCCAGTTACGTGTACGGATTTGCCAAAACTGAAATATCTGGAGGCTGTCATCAAAGAGACAATGAGGCTTTACCCGCCAGTTCCCATTATATCTCGAAAAATAGATAAGGATATCACTTTACGTAAGTATATATAAGTAATTTTGTTATGATTAATTTTATTATGATTAAAGTGACAAAAGAAATGATAGTCCATCCGATGGCCACTGAAGTTCACGGTCAACTTCAAACACTTGCGCGTTGTTACTCCTAAAGACTAGGATTAAACTGGCTGTGTGGTGACTGGGTTAGAGCATCCATAACATTATTTAATAAAAGAAATTTGTTCTTCTAAGGCACACTAAGATTTTCTGCTGTATCTCGGGGTAATTTACATATTGTATAAATTTCACAAAGACAAACATCTAGAAACGGTACAGTACCCTAATTATTTGTAGACCAACAAATATTTGTTCCGTGCGAGATTCAAACTCAAGGTCCCTAACGATACAACTCATTGATAAGCCAATGCTCCACGGAGCCATCGTCCGTATTTCGTCGTTTTAAGTAATGATAACACCATAAATACTATAAATATCGTATATAATTCCACAAAACGTCGCAATCGTCATTTAATCTAAGCCAGATATAAAATCCTATTTCAGCGACACGGAACAGTTTCAATTGCGTGAGGTAGGGCAATGACTTGAAGTTGTCTTTTATGGATTAATAAGGATGGCGCGCTAGTGCCATGCTGCAGCTATGTTACAGTTGTATCGAGAATGGGTCGACTCCAAAGGGGTAGGTTCGCGCTTTCAAAGAATAAAAACGTAAAATAGCAGCTAGCAAAAGCTTATTTGTCCCACTGAGAATTTGATATTTTCCCAGCATCTGGCTTAACACTCGTAAAGGAAACTGATGCAATTATAAACATTTGGGCTCTTCATCGTAATCCACGTTATTGGGGCGAAGATGCTACAGAATTCAGACCGGAACGGTTTCTGGAAGGTCCAATCGAGCATCCGGCCGCTTTTATGCCTTTTAGCAATGGAGCCAGAAATTGCTTAGGTAAGTAAAATAATATTATCAATTCTATTAACAGTATTATTATAATCAATTAAAAAACACCAACACATACAACCATCAAAACATGTAGACTTAATTATAGTTTACACACATTTCATTACAAAAAAATAGACACAAGTAAAACATATGCTATTATTGCAAGCAAACCTTAATACTGTTTAAAAAGATTCACGAGAATAGTGAAAACGCGGATGCATATCTTTAAACGATTAAATTCGTAGTAAAAATTCTGAGTCACTAGGTTACTGCTGATTTAAACTTTTGTCGTTAAAATGTTTAAGTATCTATTCATAATGATGACAATTTTCCAAAATACTTATCACTTGTCTCAAATTAATTTAATTTTTATTACATGTAAGATTTTTGATAAGAGATTGAGCCATCTACATATATCTAAATGCATTAGTAAGTTTCGTCCCCATGCGAGGTTATTCGACGATATTTTCCACAATTGTTAATTTTAATAGAATGCTATAAAATGTATGGAACCAACGACATGACTTGTCAGTGTCATGTGACTTAACGTTGAGATTTTCTTATAAGTGGTGGAGACATGCTGCTATTGTATTAGTAGTATAGTTGTAGTACGAATGGGTCGGCTCGACCGGGGAAGGACCACGCTCTCACAGAATACCAGCGTAAAATAGTAGCGTAATGCTGCTGTGTTTCGTATGGTGAGTGTAGAGAACCGGAGACGCTTTTCACTTTTCCTCACGGGTGACAACGCATCTGCATTTTAATTCGTAATCGAGGATAGATGTAGACGTCTATAGACTACCCCTTACCATCAGGTGGACTGTGTGCTCGTTTGTCACCCTATCCTACAAAAAAAAAAGAAAAGTAATTCTTATTCATTTTATAGTCTTTTATTTATATTTTTTATTTTATATGATAAGGGTGATGGTTTACCTGACGGTACGCGAATGCTGTGGCCCATAGACATCTACATCTGTCCTCGATTACGAACCAAAACCTTGATACGTTGTTACCCCTGAGCACTAAGGAGGCAACATTGCTGGAATATACTCATCAAAAATCATCACCCAAAACATTGTGGAGTTATAGATTAGCAAGATTTCCAGCAAAATATTGTTTCTATAACCCGTTTATCAGCCCCGCTGTTCGTAAAGTACTTCACAAAATTGCACCTAATAATTTTATATAGGGCAAGTTAGCTGCGTAACCAATATAAAATTCGTAAAGGATGCGGCGGCGTCGTGAATCGGGTCGCCGACCTTTCTTTCAAATGGTTGTTCACCTGTATGCAGTTGCTACTTGTGGGGTCTGATCTGCTCGGACTAACAGCGCATTTATTAGCTTTAATATAATGGATCTATTCTGTTACATATACTAACTTTACTGCCGGTGATAACGATGATAGTGACAGTGATGATAGTGAAACACTTTTTAATTTATTTACTTTTTAATTTATTTGATTACGATATTAATTTTACATTTTACAGATGGATAATAAAGAGAAATAGTTAGGATGCAAGTGAGTGTTGTATTCTCCAAAAAAGTGTCCTGCAATTTGGCGAAAGTAGTTTATGAAACAACCGAATGTATTTTTATCTAATTAGATGTAAAAAGCACTTCGACTAATTATAACAATCCCTTTCCTTTGCAGGTTATCAATATGCAATGATGGCGATGAAGACGGTGCTAGCGACAGTTTTACGTCGGTATTGCTTCTTACCAGCTGAGCCCAATGCAACGGAAGCCGATTTACGGAAACCGCTTCGAGTTAAATACGACGTTATGATGAGAAATGTAGATAATTATATGGTGCGAATAGAATCTAGGTGCAAAAGCAGTGCCGACACTTTGGTTGAGATTTGAAATACTATATGTGGTGTTATAATTTGAGCATTAATATAATAATAAAGATAATTAATAGTAAGTAATTCAAATACTGTTAGATACCTGAATATCCTGTTGCAAACAATATGTAGTCCTCGATTTTTCATAAAAAATACTAGTAACGCTGTAATCATTATAATATATTCTCCTATAAAGGGACGGCGGGAATTGCCTGTAAAGTTATAAGGCTCCAACTGAAAACCAGCGTTGCCTTTGCATTATTATCCTGAGTTGGAGACCTATTTGATGTCACAATATAGTTTTTTTTGTTGTTTTATTATTAATTAATGATGTGCATTACTGCTTCTTAATTTTTAATGCGTTAGCAGTCATAGGGTAGCCTATGTTTAGCAGCGAAATTGTGAGGGTCTGTAATGATGATGATGATGATGACGATGATAAAGCAGTCTTAGACTGATGTGTGCATATTATTGCCTCTTCTGTTTATATATTTCCTTGTTTATGTGTAAATAATTTTTCTTTCGTTGTATGAACCACTGCACGTAAGCTTAAAATGCTTTTATGAGTAAGGGTCACAGGAGTAGCCGAATAGCGGATCCGAATTTATGACTTTCCAAGTCTACAGTTCATCTTCAATAATAAGGACACTGTCGCATAATTTAGTTAATTCATCTCCTATTTTAGTTATAATTAAAGTAAAATTAACGAGTGCACGTGGTTAATGATGTGCTCCGATTGGTCCTTATGCCTGACACTTTACGCTAATTGTATGTTCGGTAAGGTACTGGCGCCAGTTCACTATTGTTGTCCATTGTTATCATAAACTAAAAACGCGTTCCTTACTGTTTATTGTTCATTGGAACTATGCAAGGCTAAGTTATCAATAACGTTTAAACGCTGATGCAATTACTAATGTCCCTGCACATAATTTGAAACGTTAAATACAGTATAATTTGTAAGCGCAGAATCCTTTTTATCTATTTTAAAATAAACAACCGTAAAAAATGTTTATAATAAACTTAACTGAATAGTACTGTGCCAAGCTGTCTGTGTCTGGCAGAAATGAGAGTTCATTTCTGAGAGGTTATTGAATTTACTAGACTCGTGTAGACTCGTGTACTTAGCGCGTGTTGCGAGATATAGATAACCAACGTGGTTACCCCTGAGGACTAAGATACAATGCCTCGTATTATGTAAAACGTAACTACGGTTCTCTACACTCAAAATGAAAAACACAGCAGCATTGAGATGATATTTCACGCCGGTATTCTGTGAGAGCGTGGTCTTGCCCCGGTCAAGCCGACCCATTCGTGCTACAACCATAATATAGCTACAGCATGGCTCTCTCACATCAATTTTTTTTATAGAAGGGGAGCAACTAAGCATAAAACTTATCTTATGTTACGTGTATACCACCACAAATGTACAACAGAAACTCCAGGAGCCAGCTGCGTTGCCGCCCTTTTCAAAAGGAGTAGACTCTTTTGTCGAAGGCCTAAGTCGAAACAATCTGGAAAAACAAAATTTACGATTAAACCAATTTCACAAAAAAGTGGAATTATAGAACCATGGCAGGCGCTTCGCCTACGATATATTGCGGTTAGTAGTGTACTGTGTGGAAACTAACAAAGACGATAAAGACACAGCAATAACAACAGCGGCCTTACTTGTCATCGTTGATTAAGACTTATTTCAATTAAATATTAATTATCTCTATGTCAATTTTGTTCTATTGTCAATTAGTGAAAAGAGAAAGAGAGCAGCTTTAAGCGTTAATTCAATTATCATCGTTGACTGCCTCGTTGGTCTAGTGGTTGTAGTAGTGCGACTGCTGATCATGAGGTCCTGGGTTCGAATCCCGGGTCGGGCCAAAAAAATTAATTATTGAGTTTTTCCGTCAAGAAATTCTAAGTAGTTGCCCGGAGTCAGGAAGTTGGCGGTGTCTCACCCCCGTGCCTCGGAAAGCACGTAAAGCCGTTGGTCCTGCGCCTGATCTCTCTCCGGTTGTGTTGGTTTACCGTCCCATCGGATTATGAGAGTGAGGGAATAGAGAGTGCACCTGTGCTTGCGCATACACATGGGTACTGTAATCCTGTCCTGTGCCGATGGCTAGCCTCCGTTAAGGCAGGCCGCCTTGGCCGAGATTCGGTCTGGAGGACATTATTATTATAATTATCATCGATTTTACAAGGCATCATAAAACATCACGTAATATTATGCATGTCGTTCTGTTCAAAAATTTACCGAAAATTTAAAAATACTATTTAAATCCAGGCAACGTCAAGGCTATTTGCGATGATGTAATAGATTTGCCACCACGGTGACAGCTTCAGCGGTCAACTGCAAAGGTGATATTATAGTGTACGAGCAATAGAATATTATTGTATACGACAAAGTGCAATGCTATGCTAGATTAATTGGTGTTCAAGAGTACCACTCAACCACTGTGACTGATGCTGAATTTATTGTAAAACAATATAATACAGTGCAGTTAAGTGAAATCACACATGGAAACGAAGTCTAATTGCGCTAACAAATAAAATAATTGCGCCAACATTTAAAAATGTACTGGTTTTCCCGTACATATTGGCAAGCCTTAAAAAAAAACATTTATTAAGAATATCCCTTCCTGTAACTCCTGTAACGGTTATAGTCTAGAAAACTCCAATGCTGAATGTAGGTCTCTTCTATAGATCTCATAATCCATATTCTATTTCTAATTCTATAGGCTCATTATCAGTAGATTGCGTCAAATATGTGGTAGAGCCATGCTGCAGTTATATTAGATGTATAGTTGTAGCACGAATGGGTCGGCTCGACCGGGGAAGGACCACGCTCTCACAGAATACCAGCGTGAAATAGTAGCTTAATGCTGCTGTATTTCGTATGGTGAGTGTAGAGAACCGGCGACCCATTTTACTGGAAACGAGGCATTCCATCTTAGTCCTCACGGGTGACAACACATCTGCATTTTGATTCGTAATCGAGGATAGATGTAGATGTCTATGGGCCACAGCAACCACTTACCATCAGGTGGACTGTGTGCTCGATTGTCACCCTATCCTATAAAAAAAATAAAAAAAATAGGGGGAATTATTTGCTGTACTTCTCACGCTTGACAAACGGGTTGGTAGCCACAGTTTTGTATTTTTGTCCCAATATGCTACCAGGAGGATACGGCAGCTTGTTTCTCAATTTAATTTCCATGATATGGGGGTAGTGAATATTCTAACACCGACAATACATGGTTCCATTACGGTGTATGCCCAATGTAGTTGTGTATATTGTGATTTTAACTTACGTAAAACGTATGAAAAAATTACGTACTAAGTATATTATACTTAAGTAAAGGGATTTGAAAAATAGAATAAAATAAAGAGTACACGCCTCCGTATCCATTGGGAAATCACTAATACACGAAAATCCTCGCCGTTCATGAAGCGACCAAAAAAACTAGCGCCTTTTTATTAGCAAGGTCATATGAAGCTGAAATATGTTCTTCAATGTTTTAATAAATATTATGATTTAGTTTGGATATGAAATAAAAATGTAATAAAGCCCTGAGATAAATCCTGTTCTTATTATCAATACATATTATACTGCCTCGTTGGTCTAGTGGTTGTAGTAGTGTGACTGCTGATCACGAGGTCTTGGGTTCGAATCCCGTGTCGGCCCAAAAAATTAATTATTGAGTTTTTCCGTCAAAAAATTCTCAGTAGTTTCCCGGAGTCAGAAAGTTGGCGGTGTCTCACCCCCGTGCCTCGGAAAGCACGTAAAGCCGTTGGTCCTGCGCCTGATCTCTCTCCGGTCGCGTCGATTTACCGTCCCATCGGATTATGAGAGTGAGGGAATAGAGAGTGCACCTGTGCTTGCGCATACACTTGGGCACTACAATCTTGTCCTGCGCCGATGGCTAGCCTCCGTTGAGGCAGGCCGCCGTGGCCGGTATTCGGTTTGGAGGACATTACTATTATTATATTATTACATATTATAAAATTGAATTGTGTGTCTGTTACATTGAAATAACTGGTTTCTATTAAGTTCAGGGGTTATTTGCATGCTCGTATTAAGTATATCTTATATATAGTATATAACAGACAAAAAATTAATAACCATTGTAAATTTTTTTGCCTGTCTGAAACGATTGTGATGAAACTTTACCAACATATAAAGGTGTAGGATAATTTCCATAGTTGGCACGTTTGGCAGGCGGATTCGCAACCGCATTTTATTTTTTGTTATCATCAAAAAGATACTGCTGCCCATCTGCCATTTAATTTCCCTGTTTCGCTTCTTACGACGCTACGGGTACTTACGGGTTAACATATTGAAGTGAATTAATTTACTTACCTCTCCAATACACGACCGTATAAAAAATACTCTTAAGACCTTGAAACGTGGAGATATGTTAAATTCTCGAATTTGCTAAATCGGACCCATTACAATAACTTCCCACTGGGAAGTTAAAAAATGCAAAATTAAGTTATTTAAACTTTTTCATCACTTAATCTTTGAAGAAACTGAAGCATTACATATTGCTGGTTAACATTACTTACACACACTCTTACACGTGTGTTTATGACATGATTTTTTATGCATTCAACATAATTTACACAAAGAGATACATATTAATACACATTTTAACATTTTTCTTTGTGTAAAACACATTTTCTTATGTTTAAATTTCACATTTTATTTGTTGTATAACTTCTGTTTAAGTTATACTTACGTTAGTCTGTTAATATTTGATAAGGGAGAGCACTGTGATCTGAAATACAGATAAATATTTATCTAGTTCAGACACATATGTTTGTGAACTAAGTATAGATCATTAAATTTATTACTGTGATAATTACGCAAGTAATGAAAATTAAGTATTATAATTATTAAGTTAAGTAATTATTATTATTATTATTATATGGGGTGTTTATAGGTATTTTCATCTGGTTGGGCTTAATAAATATATAAAAGGAAGTGATAAATATACAATATATTAAATACTAACATAAATAAATAAA